GTGAATGCTGGGATTTTTCTGGCTAGCTTGTCAAGGTCTCTGAGGGTCACATCATGCGCTGATGCAGGGATGCTTGGAAGGGACCCCCTCCTCTCTGTGGTTGCTGGAGGTATTATGGTTCTGTCTGCTGAGTTGTTAAGTGCTGGCTCCCCCCCCCCTTCGTAGCTTGGTGCACCTGAGGGAGCTTGCACTGCTGAGTGAGGATGCAGGAGTAGGGTGTCTCTCCCACTGTGTTTCCTTTTACAGCCTATAAGAGTACCTGAGTTCTCTTTGAACCATGTCAAGTTTGTCTTGAGTGTTGTTCAACTGCTGGATCAGAGTCTCTTGAAGTCTATTGATTTCCCCCTGTAACTCCATTCCGCTGGGGTCCCTTTGGGATACCGCCGTGAGCTGTTGCCCGAGATCATTTACCTCCTGTTTCAGACCCTGGTTGTTGGCCAGGAAGACGACGACCCTGGTGAGCTCCCTGCAGTCACGACTCCTGCTTGAGTCATGAGTCCGTGGCACTCCTCCCTCTGTGTCCAGCTGCCTTCGGCTCTGGTGCAGTAGGTGGTCGTCGGCCCTGGGTAGAAGGGTGTTCCTCACAACGCCTGGCTAGTCCTCTTTGGTCTGCAAGCTGGGAAGTTAGTCTGAGCATCTGCAACTTTTTGGCAAACTTGTGTTGAGAGTAAGGGCTAGAGACTACTACAAGATCAAACAGAGTGTGGAGCTAGGTTTTACAGCTAGGTTTTGCCAGGTGTGCTTAGCTGAAGTATTAGGTTATTATCTTAGCTGTAGATGACAGAATGCTAAAATAGGTTTGGGTCAGCATATGCTTGCTGAAAAGGGCGTAAACAGGGTTTTGATGGATGACTTTAGACTGCTCTTATTGTCAAATTATCACTCAGAACTTACTGATGTTCACAACAGGCTCAATCTCTGAGGAAGTGAAGTAGAAGAGGGAAAAGGAAAAGGAGAGCATTTCTATTCAGATTATGCTTATTATTTGGTGCTCAGGATGATAGTTGTGCCCTAGTATTTGTCTAGATGACTTGTATAACAGGGTCATAAAATTAGGGCACATGTTGAAAATAAACAAATCAAAAACAGAAGTGTCTCTGGTTCCTTTTGAGGTTCAGAGAGAACATCAAACCAAAGGGGAACAAAAGGGGGCATAACATGTAAATGGATTTAAAATTAGCTGACTGATATTTTTAAAACAGGGTAATCAATCTGGTATTAGGAACAATCAGTAGCACTAATGATTAACTGTAAGATTTGTGTTGGGCAACACACCATGTCTGGTAACAGCTGCTGCGTGTTCAGCTCCCATGCTGATGCCATGCCATGTGTGTGCCCCGCCCTCCGTAGTGTGTTATTCACTGCTACTAAAAACACCCAATAACTTAATGATTCTTCTCTAGATAGACAGTTAAAATGTAATTAAATTTAGATTTAATTAACTAGTAACTGAGCAATAGCATTCAGGAAGGATACATCTAAGATAGTTAAATTCGCTGAGACGAATTGAAGATTGGGAAACATAGAAAAAGAGGGAAAAGAAAGGGAAAAAAAATCAGAAACCAGTGATTAGGTTAAGTTCAAATTACTTCACACTGCATACACACATGCTGTATTTAAAAGCTTCAATTAAAGAGTGCTAACCCCTAATTGTTAAAGCTATTTGGTAGCTTAGCCTAAGATTAAACTATGCTAAGTCATGTTAGCTTAGCTGCTTCAGGTGGTTTGTTTACAACATGGCATCGTGCGTGCTATATGAAGTTAGCGCTTCCTGTGACAAGTCATTGTCATGGTAACCAATGCATGACAAGTTGATGTCACGGTAACCAATGCATGCCAGTGCAATTCAAACAGTTTAGTGTCTGCCTATTCTAAAGAAGTGGCCCACAGTTTTAAAACGTGGTGCTTTCAGTCCTTCAAGACTTGTTGCATTAAATAAGCACTTCTGTGAGTGCTTCTCTAATTTCACAATAAACTTCTTGGACTCGTTTAAAGAATAACCAAAACAGGTTTACTGTAAGTTAAAGCCGGTTTAAACATGTATGTAGTTATGTGTGCCTCACATATGAATACTAAAGTACAGTATTACACATTTAGTTTCACTCAGTGAGTGAAACACACTTCAGCCTTCTCCTTGGTTTGGTCAACACAGTGCTTGAAGGATTTCTCAGTGGAGCTCTGATTCTGACCAGGACCCGAGGATTATCACCTTGTGTCTCCGTTATTGTGATTACTAAATAAACCTTACCTTTGCACTCGCACTTGGATCCTGACTCTTCTCTGCCGTGACAGTAATGACCACCATGTTGCTAGGCCTGTATATATACAGTTAAAGTGTAGATGAATTGCTTCAATCTAATTATAATTTATAAGGCCTTCATGCTGTAGAAAGGGGAGCATCACTCAAATCTACCTTGATATAACTGTACTGAGATTTCAGAAACAATTTAAACAATACTGCAATTTTGTGATTTCTTCACTAAAACAGATTAATACATTAATGGTACAGTTTGGACATGCCGCTGAGCTGAGATTCAGATTTATGCTTTGTCAGAACAGATTTATGCTTTAATACTGAAATTAGGGTTTCTTTGCTAAGATCAGATTAACCTTACACTGATACCATTAAGCATGAAATGCAGAAGGACTCTTTCAATCATAATAGAGGTACCAATTCAAGCCCCTACTTTATCTGCATTTAAACAAGCCAGCAAATAGGGACACAACAGCACATCTCAAGTCACGCCCTATTCTAACCTGGACTATCAAGCACACACTTTTAGGTTGACACTGTTTTTAAACTCATACCTAATGTATCAATTAACAAGACCAAGTTTGATACTTGCACAGTCTGTCTGAAAGAGGCTTGATGCAATCTGAAGGTTCAAGTTGATCTTTGCTGAAGTTGGTTGATGAAAAAGAACCAATTTGAGTCAGATTATGTTGGTGAATGGAAAGTCAAGGCCCGAGGCCTGGCACAAAACTTAGGGTGTCCTGGAGCGTTCTAGCTCATGTCTTCATCTTAGAATCTAACCGAACCACCGACTCTGGGCGGGTCACTGAAGTGAGGCCTTTAAGGTCCGAGAAGATTCACGCCTCTCAAAATGGGCTTGTCCAATGAGAAAGGCTGAAATCCCAAGTGGGAGGTT